GTCATTTCAAGAATTATATATAGTATATATATATATATATACTATTCATATTATAATTATATATATATATATATAGTATGAGGCAATATTTCAAGGTTAAAAGGTCACTTCATCTTCATCTTGACAGTGGATAAATGATGTAAAAGTATATTTGTAGCATGAATAGTGTTTATGAGAAATAATCATTGCAGCTCAAATAGTATGGCTAAGGCTAAAAATTTATTGTGTTATGAACAATAATTTTAATATTCTGAAACATAGTGTAGCAATGATAGCGCCCACTGCATCATGATAGTAATTTTAAGGTTTTGCTTTTAAGTTAGAAGTAACACAATTTTACATTTTTTACCTTTATGACTTGATTTATGAATCTCTCAAGGAATATTTATTGAATTTTTGTCATCTGCCTCATCCATCTATTCGAGAAACATGTATATTATATGTATTAGAACTCCTTGCAGGTTAGAAGAATATTGGTCTTTTCTTCGTAGCTTATAAGTCAACGACTCAAACCCGTTTGGTTTTTTTTTACTTTATAACCTCGTCGTCCATGTGTTCTACATTAAAGTACAAATAGGATTAATTAGCTGGATACAAGACTAAATCCTAGCAATAATTTGACAACTTTCAAAAGTCTTCATTGAAAATACATGCAACCAAACAGTCCTAAATATTTTAAGTGTTTGTACAATTGTACTGATTTTAAATTTTACTAATTATATATACGAGTGTATAGTCATTTGTCTTAATAAAGTCTTTGTCACTACACTAAAATTCTAAAGTTATGATGAGGATTAAGAGTAATAATTCTATAGACTAATTAACCTTGTAAAGCGGAGTCTAATCGCCAACTCCAATAGCCGGATCGAATTATCAATATGCCCCCATGAATTCTCTATAAATAGCGCTTAACTCCACTACATCAAGGTACGCTGGAAAAAAAAAATCCTAAACTACATTTTGCATCCTAACGGTCTTTACTTATCACTGACTTGAACATCAGAGGGCACAGCGGAGGAAATCTCCTTTGGCCCTCTAACGTGTACGTGTTGATCTGCTTCCTTCAAATTAATCAGTTATATGAGAAGATTAAGGGACCATACACTCCTCTAATTAAATATCCTCTCACTCATATAATTAACTTTTTGACATGAACAAATATGGTCCCACGGTTTGAATGTCCTTTTTATGGGTCGAAATGACTCCATCAACAATTTTTTTTAAATACGTATCAACTTCATGGTCTGTAAGATTTGAAACTTGGATTGTTCCCATACTATAACTTAAAATCCATGTACGTAAACTGTAACTTTAAAATTATGATGAGGACAAAGGGGTATAAAATCCCAGTTCTTCAACACGATTTGGAAATCCAACATTCCTTTAAAGGTAAAAGTCCATCTTTGGATTATATCCAAAAAGAAGCTGAACACAAGGGATATTTTGATCAAAAAAGGATGGAACGGTGACCCTAGTTGCCCATTCTGTCATCGGGAAACAGAAACCTATGATCACTTATTTATCCATTGCTCCTTTGCTCGCACTGTATGGAACTCCCTTCTCCCCCTCTCTTCATCTAACATCTAGCCTACGACCACGGAAGAGTTGTTTCTTCTTCACAAAGTTCCAAATTTTTGCTCAGATACAAAAGCTATATGGAAGATATTGTTGCCATGTGTTTGTTGGTGGATTTGATACTTCAGTAGAAGTTCTCTAATTTTCAAGGATATTCAGCCCATCCCGCTTCTCACTGCTTCTAATATTGCGAGATTTTCTATATTCTGGTCAGGTACAGAAGATGACAGGATGGCGAGGAGGCTTCGTAGGGCATCCTTCAATCTCGGCTTCCAGGAGTTAGCCAAAAAGAACGCCTGTGATGATGCAGGGGACAATTTCTCAAGCAACTAAGCACCTGCGACTCTCTTCTCTGCAGGAAGTAGTAACATTATGTGAAGATGCTCCTTTTTGGCTGAGTTGCTAGCTGCGTCTAGCATAGTAACAGTTTCAGTAGTAGTCTTTAACCTGATACAATCCTCTCCTTGTACTGTTATATTACCTTTTGGTTTTTTTTTCTCTAGCTGCAGGAATGTAGTCGGTCTAGTGTGGTAGGTGACGACAATGGTCCGCTCCTTACTCACTACTCCCACTGCGTTTTCTCCATCTAGAGCTGATGTATATTCCTCTTTGGAACTTTTTCTATATTTTTAAATGAACAGGGCACCTCACCCTGTTCCTCCGGTTCAAAAAAAAGATTACGATGAGGACAATTAATTGTTATAATTTTATATTCTAACAATTTGAAATTGAGAATTGCCACTACCTATCACCTTAATTTATATGATTTTCTACATATATAGGACACTCTAGGGATTATCATTGCATCCAATGAGCCGAACGTAGAGTCCTATTAGTTTTAACTGTGCTATATAATAACGTGGCTCACCTTTCCTAGAGAGAGTAATGAAGAAGAAACAAAATGAAAAAACTTGTCCCTGCATTAACTTAAACAGTAGTGCTGACTTCAACTTTAAGAGCTCCTCTACTAACAAATAGAGTTACAGCTATTCATGTCACTCTCCAATCTCCTAAAGTCCTAGATGCTACAAAAATTCGTTCATACCCGGCCTACATGGGCCCAAAATTCATCAATCACGTTTCCATCTGAATGAGATCATGATGTAGACTGAGGTTGTGGCGATAATGAGTCACATGAGTGTGAAACCCACAGGAAATAATTCCTTTAACCTTCTTTTTAATTGTGTAGAGGTCCGGGCTAAAAAGTGGCGGATCAAGAAAAATTTTCTTACGGGGACGGAAAATGAATATGTATTTATCTAAAAATAATAATATAACATTATAAAACTATAGTATTTAATACGAATGCTCTTGGTACATTTGAAATGAGCGGATTCAATTTGTTACTAACTTATTTAGTGTTTTTATATTAGATGGATCAGGATGCTTTATTTTAATTTTTATTTTAATTTTTTTTGTGGGGGAGCTGTAAATATTATGATTATAATAAACATTATAATACTAAGCTACGAACCTAAATCCGTCCTTAGGAGTAATCTCGTCCGTCCTTGGGGGTAATTAATCTTGTTTTAATGTATTTATGGTGCACCAAAAGAACCGAAGTGGTACGTTTAGATAAAGCTGACGCTATTAGACATTTTTTTTCTGCCTAGAATCGTGGCCCTTTTCATCTCACTTTTCTTCAAGACTCCCAAGTCCTACCACTGTGAGGAGATGCTTCATGGAAATAAATAATATATAATACATAGGATAAAGTTGAGGATATAGGTAGATAGCGTAGAAGCAATCAGATTTAGAAGTGTCTTATCATGCAACTACAAGTAACAAATTAAGAATGAGTGAAAAAGTCATGAATCCGCAGAAGGCCTCAGGTGTTTATCGCATGATAGACGACGTTGCTCTAGGGGCTAGTGCACTATTGTCAGGTCAAAATAGCACAATCTTAGACAGCGCACGCATACGTGTCCAATGCTCTCTAGAATTTAATTTGAAAGTTAGCAGCACCTTTTAGCCAATGCGAGAGGCGCGCAAGTATTTGAGAAAACCTGTTTTTTTTTTAATTGGAAAATCCCATTCACACCACATTTTTATAGTGTTTTTATGAGGATTCTTCCCATGGTGGTGATTAAATTATCCTATAAGTACGGAGTTTTCGTGAGGATTGATTGAATAAGGGTGTTTTTTTGTTAACGAAATTTTTTTATTCATCAACAAATATGAGAAGTTTGTGTACATCAAAATTAAAATCAACGGACTGATTTTAAAATCTAGTCTTCACTATGACAAATTTTCTATGTACAGTATCATATGCTGTGGTATTTTATCATTCAAAATCTTTGTATATACACTGATTTTAATAGCACGGAAGATGTGATCTGGGCTACGAGCTGCTCTTTGCTGGAAAGTTCTATAATTCATCTCTTGCCATATCAGATACGTACACTGATACAAACAGAGCAACTCTTTTTAATTTCTTTTTGTAGCTTCTCCCCCGCAAGTTCCTGTTATACCAGTTCAAAATCTGATTCCAAGAACATGATCTCCAATTGAATCTCATCCATTCCATAACTTTGTTTCAGACACAAGCAGAATACTTGCATTCAAAGAAGATGTGTTGACATGTTTCAGCTTGATGATCAGTTGAGCATAAAATGCACTGATTTGAGCTTAGCATCCTCATATTACACAATCTATCTTGTGTGAGCAGTCTAAAAAGGGATGCAAGCCATAGAATGAATGAATGCTTGGGGTAATGCAACC